GATGGTTGTCCCAACCTCCTCGATACCCTGCACGAGTGGCAGATCACAAGAAGGTGCGGCGGCGGAAGCCCGCAGGCAGCACCCGATTACCTGTACAAGCATCACGGGCTGAACAAAGCTAAGGTTAAGTCGGGCCTGTCCCCCTACAGGGGGAAGTTCGACGAAAAATAAAAAATACCCCAAACATATTCCGAAAAGGTCAAAAAATGCTCAAAGAATAGTCCCCAGACCATTTTTGGACTATTTTGGTGGTATTTCTTATTTTTCGTCGAAAATCCCCCTGTAGGGGGACAGGCCCGACTTAAAGCTAGGGATCCGTACGTGGGAGCACAAGCACGCAATCAGGCACTCTTGCCATCTGCGTGCGTACCCATAAAATGACGACGGAGGCCCGCTTCGCACATGTGATTCGGGATGCACCTGGGGGCACCACACCGCCTGAAAATGACCACATGGGTGATCAAACACCTACTGGGGGCCGCACCTCACGGGCCTCGTGAATTCTGACGTTCTGCGCAAACCTGGAGTGCGCATCTGTTGTCGATGCTGTCACAGGCCCGCTGTACTCAGAGCAGAGCGAGCTCGGGATCTCCAAGTGGACGAACGTTCGCGTGACGTTGATCTTAGTGTCTGCCTGTAGAGATACTCCCGCGAGGCCCATAGGGACAACTGCACGGCCACTGAGCCTTACCCTTTCGGCTCGCTTCTCGGCTACACCGATCACCGTCTCCTCCAGCTCCGGCTCTGCAAGTACGTGGCGGCCTTCCAACGTAAGCCCGAAGATGCGAAGAGCCTCCAGTGCAGCATCGTAGTTCGAAGGGCGGACGAAGACCTCCCAGAGATCACAGAAATCTTGTGCGCAACCTTGCTTAACCTGGATCACTGGCCATGTGGATGTGTTTTCTGCTCGAGCTCGCAAGCACAGGAGCCTGGTTGAAGAGACGTGCTGCCGTTTCGAAGCTCTCGCCGGGTTCTGGCTGATGATAGGGCACAAACACAGCCACCAAAAATAACATCTAAAAAAATGCTCAGATTGCGGAGACGCGCCACCTGTGGAAGGAATGGGTGGACGAGCCACATTACTGCCTAATCTCTCGCGACGAAAGGGAGGGCTGACTCTGTTCCCACCGCGGCCCTGGCCATTGGGGGGTGCAGAGCCGACGCCCCAGTCATCGCGCCGGGACGCAGCGCCACGGGCACAGACAGGACAAGTGAAGAACCATCTTGAAGGGACCCTGGGACACACAAATAAATACACACAAATAAAAAGATTCCCCATATCTTCCCATATGTTCTGGGTTTTTGTCTTCCCCCCCACTTCCCATATTTTCCCATATTTTCTGGGAGTCGACGATTAATTGTGTCTGTGTGTCTCTTTTCCTCCAGAACCATCTAGACTCCCAAATCCCACCACATACTCGACAGCGCACGGGCAGGGAGGAGGAAGGATACTGATGATGTGTGGTGGATTGAACCTGGTCAACCTATGAGGCGAAAGACGTCTGCCATCGCACAAGTTCGTTGCATAGATCTGACGTTCGCGTAATGTCTCCTCGACTGGGCGTGTACGGAAGACGCCTGGTATGCGTTGACGGTGCTACGTATTGGACTGAATATGCAAATACCAAGGTTTGCGTTCTGCTCACCGCAAGGAGGGTAGATGCAGCAGGTCGCCGTAAACCACACTTCAGCAAGAGGCATGTAGAGTTCAGGATGGGTCGTAAAGGAAAGCAGGCGTGTATCATGCAGTGGTGGCCCACGTGGAATATTGACAACAATGCACTGCTACGCATGCCGCACTTGTGATTAAAAGCATATGCACCGTATTGCTTCCTGGCAAGTGTGTACACCATGCTGTGCTATACCGCCCAGTGCGTACGGATTGCCTGGCATGTACACGGCGTCATATGAAGCGATTCGATGCGACATGGGATGCACTAAGGGTATCGCACTCGTGCTGTAAGGCAGTGGGTGTGGTTGTCAGTGTCGGGCTGTGGGTGCTTGGCCTCCTATGGCCTGATACGGCTTGGCATGGTGTTACGTCTCCATGGTTTTGCAGGGGTCGGGCAGAAGATGCTTGGCCTTCCATGTCTTGGCCTCCGCTGGCCTGGATTAGCCTCCGACGCCCTGGTGCTATGACTTGTGGTCAGCTGGCTTCCCTATGTCTCCCCTATGGCTGCCCACCCCAATGACCCTGATGTCCGTGGTCGGGCTGCAGGTGCTTGGCCTTGGGCCTCCTGTATGACTTGGGCTCCGATGTCTTGGCGTCCAATGGCTTCGCCTCCTAGGGCTTCCCACCCGCATGGGGATTCACGCACATGGGGCTCCACACGCATGAATGTTCACACGCACACACACCCACACACGTTCAGATGGAGCAGCACACGTGATTTAAATGGCCATCAGTAGACATACAGAACACGTGGTTGTATGGCCACTGGTAGCCATAAAAAAACTAATGATGCTCCATACTTGTATCGCCGCAGGTCGCCACAAAAAACGCGCGAACGTTCCATGTATACACACACAAAAAAAAAAACTACCACACACCCACACAGACACACCTTGTTTACCAGCTCGAAAGGGCGTCCCGTGACTAAGGACAGGGGAGGCGAGCAGCAGGGGAGGGGAGAACAAGGGAAGAGGCAGCCGCAGCAACAGCAGCAGCAGGGCAAAAGCAGGTGACAGTCGGCGGCCGCCTCACACACACACACACCATCTTCCTCCTCCTCCTCCTCCTCCTCCTCCTCCTCCTCCTCCTCCTCCTCCTCCTCCTCCCCCTCCTCCTTGCACAGTGAAACAGTTCTTATCTTTGTATGCCACCATCTTTCAGATGTGCTGTACGACGGAACGTCTCAGGTTGGCGGGCGGTCGTTCTCTTCGGTACTCGACACATGCTCCGCGAACATGGGCGCACCAGACATATACTGCACTCGCTCACCTGGGGAACGGAACGCAGAGGGACGCATTCGGTGCAGACGGAGTCGGTGCACTGGACTCGGCTTGGGCGTGCAAGGGAAATGCGGGCATCTCGTGCTCTGGTTGTTCCTTTCCTGGCGCCTGGTGATCAGCTCCCAGGGACGGCCAGGCCTGCGGCTGGTTGCAGCATACTGGTGTGGTGGTGTGATACAAATCCCGAGTTGATGCCTCGCCGCATTACGAGGCGACATGGAGGTGCCCAATTTCTCCCACGGCCGTTCAAGTTTATGTTCTGCACACCGTACTTTCCTATTCCATCGGAACCATGTGAATGCGTTGTAGCACAATTGTTGTGTGTGTTCATGTCCAGTCTCCCCGCGAGCCGTTGTTTCTCCGATCTGTGTGGTGTTGTGGGGTTCTGCGCTGGACCACCACATCACCCCCATTGGGGATCTCATATGAGATGGCACTTCATGTCGTGGTCCGTTGTGACCCGTATCTCGAATCATTGTTAATAAGAGCGCTGATCCGTGTGGCCTTTTTACTTGAATCATATCGCTACGCGATCAGGCAGAGTCTCCAAAGTCTCGTCCTCCTCCTCCCCGCCCCCTCCGCCTCCTCCTCCTCCTCCTCCTCCTTCTTCTCCCCCTCCTTCTCCCCCTCCTCCTTCTCCCCCTCCTCCTCCTCCTCCTCCTCCTCCTCCTCCTCCTCTCCCTCCTCCTCTTCGTATTAGTGTTCTTAGTGTTAGTCGTATGATTATTCTGGTTATTATTAATAGTATTATTAGTAGTATTCGTATTATTATTAGCCGTATTCTCAGTATTCTTCATATTAGTATTCCTCATTAGTATTGAGATTCGTCTTCTTAGATTTCGTCTTCGTCTCCCCTCCTCCTCCTCCTCCTCCTCCCCTCCTCCTCCTCCTCCTCCTCCTCCTCCTCCTCCTCCTCCTCCTCCTCCTCCTCCTCCTCCCTCCTCCTCCCTCGTCCTCCGCCTCCTCCTCCTCCTTCCTCGTCCTCCTCCTCCTCCCCTCCTCCTCCTCCTCCTCCTCCTCGTCTCCTCTTCCTCCTCCTCCTCCTCCTCTCCTCATCCTCCGCCTCCCTCCTCCTCCGCCTTCCTCCTCCTCCTCCTCCTCCTCCTCATCCTCATCCTCATCCTCCCTCCTCTCCTCCTCCTCCTCCTCCTCCGACTCCTCCTCCTCATCCTCCTCCCCCTCATCATCCTCAGCATCAGCATCAGCATCATTTTCTTCATCATCATCATCATCATCATCATCATCATCATCATCATCAGCAGCAGCAGCATCATCATCATCATCATCATCATCATCATCATCATCATCAGCAGCATCATCATCATCATCAACAACATCATCATCAGCATCATCATCATCATCAGCATCATCATCATCAGCAGCATCATCATCAGCATCATCATCAGATTCATCATCATCATCATCAGCATCATCATCATCATCATCATCCTCCTCCTCATCATCATCATCATCAGCAGCAGCAGCAGCATCATCATTCTCCTCCTCCTCCTCCGCCGTCTCCTCCTCGCCCTCCCCCTCCTACTCATCGTGCTTCTCCTCCTCATCATCATCCCCTCCTCCCACTCCCCCTCCTCCTCCCCTCCTCCTCCTCCTCCCTCCTCCTCCTCCTCCTCCTCCTCCTCCTCCTCCTCCTCCTCCTCCTCCTCCTCCTCCTCCTCCTCCTCCTCCTCCTCCTCCTCCTCCTCCTCCTTCTCCCTCTCCATCCGGGAGCTCGCTCAAGCTCCACTCTGTCGGGGGAAGGGGGGGGGCTGACGCCATGGCTGACACCATTCAGGCTCGGGAGAGGAGAGGGGGGGGGAGGCCGACGCCATGGCTGACGCCACTCACGCCCGAAGAGGGCTCCAAGACGGCCCAAGAAGGGCCCGACGGCCCAAGAAGCCCCAAGGAGGCCAAACGCCCCCAAGATATTCAAAAACTTCCTCCAGCGCGCCCCCAAGAAGCCTCCAGGATGCCTCCCAAAAGCCCCCCGAGAAGCCCAGGAGCGCCCCCTAAAAGATGTCATACATCAGCTACGTCAACATCCCATGAGTTTGGCTGTTCACGCGAGATCGTTACCTTCGAATATCCGAAGGTTGCCCAAGCGAGTTCTACATCTCTATCTTATGAGGATGTCTCGAGCGAGTGCTCTACTTGTAAACATGAAAGGTCGTCCGTTGCAAGCAGAATCGGTAGCACCCCGGATCGACGGCACTGGTCGGAGGCCACTACAATATGGGCGGAGGACGCCATGCAAGCATGTCATGCCCTCTGGGGCCATAGGTGGAGTTTCATGGGGCCGCGAAACGCGTGAGGGGTGTGTCGAGGTTGGCGGGGTGGCGTCATGCGAGGAGTTCGCTGTGAGGGCACGAACACGTGAGGGGTGCGAGGAGATGGGCGGGGCGGCGCCGTGCGCACATGACCACTGGGGCCACTGGTGGAGCTCCTTGTGGGGGGGCCACGAAGCGAGCAACGGGTGCGCCAAAATGGGCTGGGGAGCGTCATTCGAACATGCCCACTGGGGCCGTGGGTGGAGTTCCTACGAGGCCAAGAGGAGTGTGAGGAGTATTCCGAAGTTGGCAAGCGGAGAGCAATTGCAAAGAGAGGGGAAGAGAGGCGGGAGGTGAAGTGAAGAGGTGCGGGGCGCTGCGGATGCAAAACGAGGGCCCAACTTCCACAGGAGGGCTGGGACGTATTGAAAAAGCGAACTGGCTTCGATTAAGTTCAGACAAGCGCGGACATGGTCGCCCAAGTGGCATCTTACTCTAAAAGAACACTACCCTGCAGCCTATACGAAACGGGACGGCAGCCGCTAAAAGCCCCCTGGGAGAAACTATAGGCCCGTTCCTGGCACGATCAGAACCCTGAACGGAAAGGTATTAGGGTAGATATTGGAAACATTCGCGCGTGCTCGATGTGTTCCCCTAGTCGCGCTTGCAATGAAGGGTGTCTTACTTGAGATTTTAGGACGTGCCAGTAGGTAGCAAGTAAATCCGCATGCCGCTGAGCAAATGGGCCGTGCTAATAAATGCAGATCGTAGGATTTGCGCTGTGGCGCGTGGTAGGACAGCGGAGCAGTAAATCCCACCAGCCCTGTAGGGCGTGAGTTGTTTTAGGAGGGTTCCTTTTCCAACCACCATTTATTCCCCTTCGGGGAGTGGCTGATCACCGTCCCCTATTGATAAACACCCCCTCCCACAGGGGACCAGCAGCCCACCATGACCAATGCCAACACACACACACACACACACACACACACACACACACACACACACACACACGCGCACACGCACACGCACGCGCACACACACACACACACATCATCCCTGCCAGAAAACAATACGAAGCACACTTGGGGGCGGAATCTTGGGTCATGCTCGCGGGCCCCGCGAGCACTTTGTAGTATTTGTTGGCTGGGACGGCGGGGGTGCCCTCATATTGCCAGCTGAGAGCAAGGCCACACTCCCAAAGAAAAATACAACATGCACTTCGCGGCTGAAATCTGGATCATGCGCGGCCACCCCGCGATCACTGCCCATTGGTGTTTGACAAGGACCGCGGGGGTGCTGGCATATTGCCTGATGGGTGCAGCCCACCAGACACCATGATGGCCTCACCGCCGCCATTGTGCACTGGTTTTCGACAAGGATGGTGGGGGCCGACATGTTTCCCGATGTGTGCTGTCACGTGCGCGGGCGCACCTTGCACACGCTGCGCGTGTCCCGCACGTGGCGCACCTGACGCGGCTGGAACATGCGGCACTTACGGCGCATCTGGCCCGCGAGGCGTGCCTGGCACGCTTGGGCCCCAGGGGTGCCTGGCGCACCTGGAGCGCCTGGCACGCGTGGTGCACCTCGCCCCATCGCGCAGCTTTGGTCACATGTTGGCCTGCTGGGGGGGGCCTAATTTAGGAGCTCCCCTCCTTTAATCGGTCTCCTCCAAGATGGCCCACAGATGGTTCCCAAGACTCCCAAGAGTGCCTCAAGAGGGCCCCAAGAGGTGCCTAGGAGGCCCCCAGAGGCCCACCCGAGGCCCCCAAGATGTCCCCAAGAGGCTCCAAAGAGACCCCCAAGACGCCTCAAGAGGCTCCCCAGAGGCACCCAAGACGCCCCAAGAGGCCTCGGCGAGAAGGCCAAAACATGTATTGTATTAAGGTGTTGGCCACATTTCGGCCTCCTGGGGGGGTGACCAGGAGTAAGGAGCCCCCATCCTTGGATAGATCTCCTCCAAAGATTGCCTCAAGATGGCCCCCAAGGCTCCATGTGTCCCCCAAGACGGCCCCAAGCGGTGCCCAGGAGAGACCTCCCAAGAGGCCCCCAAGAGACCCCGAAGATG